ATGCATACATATATATATATATATATATATATATATATATATATATATATATATATATATATATAGAATAAATGATAATTTTGAACAGAAATGAAAAAAAGAAGTATAATAATCAAACATTATATATGTTATTTTAGGAAGTTTTACACATTTATTTTTATCGAATTATTATCAGAAAACAAGAATGATTTTTTTTACTTTTATGTTTATTTCTTTCGAATCGAAATTTAAAATTACAATTTTAACAATCTGGCGCCTAGTGAGCGGTTTCTCTTGGGTGATTGTAGATGCATCCTCTGAAAATAACCGCTCACTGGATACCGAAGTTGCCACGATAGGCACATAGATTTTAGCTAGGCTATGAAGCCCGGGAAATAACTCTTTCGTGCCATCCCACATCTCCAACGCGTGTAATATATGAAACTCTTCTTCTGCTTTAGTTTTATTTCTTATGTTTTGGTGCGTTACTTCTTTATGGTAGTTCCATATGTCACCTTCAGTATTATCGCATTTTTTGAATACATCTACTAAACTATACCGAAATACAAGCAGTTGAATAACCGTTCATCCATCGAAATCAATGTTTCAGAAAAGTGATTGTAACGAAATACGAAGTATCGTAAGCCGATAAAATAATTTCCAATACAAAATAACTATTACTCTAAAAAACTGCACTTAAGCTTTTGATTAAGTTAAAGCTTAAACAATATAATTATTAATAAAAAAAAATGAATCAAACCATTCCAATCCATTTTCAATATTAATTGTAAGCTTATGTTAATTCATTACCACAATAAAAATAAACCACAATTTTACATCAAAAATAAAATAACCGATTTAATATAATTGCACTTCTGAAGTTCAAATATATTTGAGTCGAGAGTACAATTTATTTTCGACTGAAAGACCATTCGCCTGTTTGTTGATTCCTAATTAAAATTTTCGGGATTGTGATATTTCTGCTAAATAATAAATTTTATACCTTCAAATAGTTGGTTATTTCGAAACCTTTGACGGCAAGCCAAAACATCGTTCATAAAACATCGCCCATGAATAACCATATTTATGAACGATATATCGATGTTTGAAAGAATTGATGTATCGTTTTCATCCCTAACTACCCTAAGTGTTACACTACACGGTGGCAAGGGCACTGCAGACAGGGTGCACTTTGTCTCCCTAATCAGGGACCCTTACTCCCTTTCTCTTATTACACCACCCTGAATCAGGGCATAGGGAGCCTGATTCAGGATAGTGTAATAGGGGTTTAAACAAACAAACTCAGATCATCAGCGTTGCAAACACCAATTTATTTTATAGAAGAATGGGCAAACGAGCATGCGGTTCACCTGATGTTAAGTGACTACTGACTATCGCCGCCCATGATCAACCGCAACACCAGGTGAATTGCAGGTGTGTTGCTGGCCCTTTAGAAAGGAGTAAGCTCTTTTCTTGAAGGTCCCCAGGTCGTATCGGTCCGGAAAATCGCCGGTGGTAAAATATTCCACAGAGAGGTTTTTATTGTGCAACGTACAGTGGTCGACCGCCAAGCATCCAGATGGTGTGGATGGTCAAATTCCCCCAAAAACCAAGTCAAATTCCCCAATTTGGGGAGGAAAGATCAACAGATTCCCCACGAATTCCCCTCAATTTTATTTCAAGAAATGAAATAAGTATCAACTAATTTTATAAGAATTTTTTTATACTAAAAATTTTTTTTACACTATTTTCATTATTTTGTAACAAGAATTTTACTCCATGAAGTGTTTTTAATTCCTTCATTGTTGCCATTAAAAAGTACCATAGTAGCTGCATTTATATGAATGCGGTTCTCTGCTTTTAAATAAAAAAAAAACATAGAGAAATAAAAAGCATAAAAAGTTGCCAAAATAAATCCAAAATTAAACGTAGTGCAATGAAGATAATTAAAAAAGGGAGTCATTTGATATCCATAAGTTACCTAACAAAAATGTTAAGAATTAAGATTTCTTAAAAAAGGGTTCAGACTTGGCCCGGGCTATCGATTCACGGATTCCCCGTATTTACCCCGCATAATTCTATTCCCAAAAAATTCCCTGTAGTTTGGGGAATTCCCTACATGTTGGCAAAGCTGTAGACAATAGATATTAAATTATGAAGTGTAGAGGTAGGAAGTACATACTCTGTATGAAAAAGTGTCCGTAGGAAAGCGTTAAATAAGGGTGGCACTACTGTAGCTACAGTCTAAATTTTAAACAACTTTTTATAATTTTTTTATTAGACAGACTTTGAACCTAATTCTTTTTATAATAATTACTTTATTGATTTAAAAAAATTATTTTAAAAATTACCCCGGGGGGGGGGTTTTATGTTCAAGAGGCACAATTATATTTACTATAAAACAAATTAACGTCATGAAACTGTAAGTTTCCCTGTAAAGAAATCCACACCTGCTAATTAAGAAAAAAACCCCCCCAATTTTTCCCCCCGCTTTTTTTCTCTCCAATAAACCCTTGAGGGAAAAAAGAAAACTAAAAACGAATAACGAACCGAACAAATTGGGGAGTTTTATTGTTACGGCAGACCTAAAAATTACCTGTCACATATGCATAAGTTATAGATAAGGATGGAGACCACACTCCGAATACCTACTTGAAGCTTAACCTATGTATTACTATCTCGCTCTCTGTGGGCAGACCCTCTCTTTCTAAGTAGGTAACCTTTATTTTATTTTTCCCAGGATATCGCTATAAGTAGTTGCATTACATTAAGTTGTTTATTTTAAATATCTACATCTCTGTTTACTACTAAGATCTAGCCTATATAGATAATATATTTTTGTACAATTTTTTGGAATTGACTAGTTTTATGAAGAAAGGTTTTCATTTCCATGGACAGAACCGGTATTTAAAATATGACCACGCATTTCCGTTACAACCCATATAATGCCGAGCCTATTTAGAAAATGTGAAAAATAAATATATCAGAGAATATTTTATAACTACCATTTCGATAATGTATTTTCTAGTTATTGTATCCAATCCTAAACGGTACCAACGAAATATAAAATTAAAATTTATTATAACACCCCGGGTGTTCCATGAATTGGGCAAAATATATAATAATTTTTGGACAATTATTAAAAAAAATATCACGAAGACTAAAAGAGCTTAGCGGAGCTCCTGCCTTAGACTTCTGACCTTACCCATCAGAGTCAGGCTGCTCTGAGCTTAAATGTGTATAATACTATATTCCACACATCCTGTTCATTTTAAGAATTATCTACAATTCCTAGAAATTCTATATAATGACGGATTTCATAAATATTTAGTAACATATGTACTATAATAGGAACGGTAATATATAAAAAACCTCAAAAAAATAAAACATTTTCCATATTAAAATCATTTATTGAAAATTGTCTATTATACATGACTAAATATCATTGCTCTGTGTAGTTTCTGTCTCTTACCACGTAAATCACTAAGTATATTTTCTGTATGACTCTTTAAGTGAGCACGTATACGCATAGAGGAAAGAATAGCTATTTTCTTAACTATCATAGTTTCATGCAAATCATTACAATTAATTGAGTCCGTGATCGGGTGGTTAAACATTTCCAGCAACAGAGGAGTAAAATGTTGTGACACGACATTAATTACTTTGTTTTCAATGTTATTGGATCTAAGTTGGCCCATCAAATTAGCTCGTTGGAAAACTTGGTCACAATACTTTACAATTTTGTAAGCTGCTACCGAAGGAAAATAAAGTTTGCCTCGGTTCACAAACGTCGTAAATAAATTAAATTTATTTACAATCATATGATATGAATTATCTGTTGATACATAGTTAAGTGGTACTAACGCATTATTAAAATGTTCACAAGAAATGCGGGTAAGAATTTGTTTTATAATGTAACCAGTTATATAATATATTTTCCTGGTATGGACTAGCATGAATCTTTTCTAAATTTTGAAACATATTTTCAACATCTTGTTGATATTCAGGTTCTTCGCGAGAATGAAACAAACTTTTCTGTTTATTGAAATCGAAGACGTGTGTTGTCTCAAAGTCATTTTCTATGCAGTTGGCATTGACGGATGGTTGAATGAATGACTACACCACACACATCATCACACCCCTTCACAAGTCCCTGAATGACTGAACAACATCTTTCTAATTATGTAGTGGAACTCGAGAGGTCTCGGGTTCCACTACATAATTAGAAAGATGAGGAAGGAAAAAAAAGTTCCAAGTTGTCCTGCGAACATTTAAAAGTCAACAAATATTTAATTGGATTTTGCTCTAGTGTACACAAATCATTAACAAGTAACGATAAACTATTTATGTTCATTAAAAACCCTAATAAAAGCGTTTTTCTGGGATGATTTAAAATACCTTTACCATTTATTGTTAACGATTTTAAAAACATTCCAGTATCATTAAATATTGGTTCCCAATAACGTTTGTTTTTTAACGATAATGGAGACTTTGAACCCTTTCCAAATGGTGACTTTGAATTCATGAGATCAGAAAGTCTATATATCATGTGCAAGAACTCTGTAGTCGCTTTGCTGTGTAGAAAGTCAAGATGACCACTAATCCGCAAAATATCTATTGCATCAGCAACAGATGAACTAAGTACTTGCGCAGCAAGCCTAACATTCATTTTTTTGTTTTTAAAATCTACATGTAAAGCGCTTAATTTATTAGCAAATTTTAACCCCTCCTTGCTTTGTATTTCGTGTAATTTTCGGATATATTTAAACGAAATATAGCCGGTATTTGACTTCATTTCAAAATCAGCCAAAACATTTCTAGCGAGTTTTAACATATATGCAGCGTCAAGCAGACAATATATATTGCTCTTACCGTTTGGATCTCGAAAGTACGGTCTTAAATTATTTTGTTCGAGAGAGCAGCCTAAATATTCATAAGCCTTTACATTGGATGATGCACCATCAAAAGCAAAGATCTTACGGTGACAACAATTTCGTCAAGCAGAATTATAGTGGTTTTTATTAATTCGGAAAGCAGTTCCCCAGACAAGTTATTTGCAATAAAAAATATGCAATTGGACTCTTGAAACGTACACCGTAAGACACTATTTGAAACACAAGGGCTTCGGAAGCTAATTTTTCTGGATCACTTACAGGAATTGGTCCTAAATCTACATACCCAACCACTTTGTCTAATTTTTGATCATATGCCAAATTTTGTCTTAATGCCATTCCATCAAATATTAAAACAACATTTTTTAAATATATTTTTTCAGGTGTTTTAACTTGTTCTTTTAAATATTCCAGTACTTCAGAGAGGAAACCAACATTACAGTTAAATAAAGATAAAGATCTTCGTATAGTTTCTACATGAAGTAAAGTTATATATTTTCTTAAGAACTCGTAAGCCTTAGGTGAATAGAAATTCAAAGTTAAAGCAAAAGCTTTCACTTCTTCACTATATCGAACACCATGTGGATTACTCTGTGGCTTTTTGAAATCCTTACAGATATCTGCAAAGCGCCCTTGAATAATATTTTCAATTTCTGACTGACCCGTATACTTTTTAATAGTTGCAATTAAAGAAGACATATCCTGATTTTTCGTAGTTTGGCGCGCCACTTTTTGCTTAAGAATCTTAGATTTCTTCTCAAGTATTTCTTCTTTACTAGACTTTATTTTCACTTGCACGCCCCTATCTATCTTCGCGGGATCGTCGTCTTCACTGCTGACCTAAGAAAACAAGAAAACTTTGTGAAATCGGTAATTTTAGCATCGTATTGCACCGCTCATAAGGGTCGTAGCGTGATGTTAGATAATCTTCCTGAATTGGTTTTAAAAATGCAAAAAAATATTTTCAAATCTGACTGGTATAGTTCCGGAGATTAGAGAACTGAAACAAACAAAAAAAGAATCAAATAACTCTTCTACATCATAATGTCAGTACAAATTTACATCACGTAATAGGTTATTAGACCATTAGTAGACAGAAAGGATACTGTGGAGCGCGCCTTCATGAGCACGCATAAATGAAGCATCAAACAAGAAGCTTCATGCTTTGTTTTGTTTTTTTTTTTTTTTAAAAACGTTAGCTTAGTGTCGTAGTGACGGTTACCACACTGCGATTGGCACTAAAGAGTTTAAATATGTATGTGTTTTAAGCTATATAATATATTATGTAATGTAATATTAAAGTCATAATAAATACAAATAAAATGTAATATTGAATGTAATCTGTAATATTGAAGACCAAACTAGTAAAAACAATGTCGAAAAATTCTTGAAAATTTATGCAATCTTAACAAGTTACCTGTAAGTTTCCTTTTCCTTTATTTCTAAATACGGTATGTATGTATTTAGAAATAAAGGAAAAGGAAACTTACAGGTAACTTGTTAAGATTGCATAAATTTTCAAGAATTTTTCGACATTGTTTTTTACTAGTTTGGTCTTCAATATTACAGACAGTACGTTTCACTCCTGTTTCCTTAAGTGCAGAACTACTTTCATAAATGTCAGAATTAATGCTTGGTACAGCCAGAGCAGCTATTTGCACAATAGACTCTTCATGTAATGCACTTGTTGTCTGCAAATGATAACATATTTTACAAAATGTTGCTTTATATCATACATTTAAACTACTACATTTCTAAATATATAATATATTACGAAAAATTAGATAATTAAATTATATTAAATTTTTACCTTGCCTGGTGATACCGTTTCTTGATTTATTATAACAGTAGGAACTGCTGTTGGTTTTAAGCGCCTTGTTGTTGAATCATAATCTGATTATTGAAAATGCAAATTGCAAATACTTGCACTTTCATAATACTTCATTTTCAATGGTACAATGGATAACCACAAATTTCTCTGAGTACTGTTTTTAGGAAATCTAAAAAAAATATTCGTAATTATTGTAAACGTTACTAAAGTATCAGAATAATGAGAAACAAAAACTAAATAAAAAGTAAATTGTCTGCCTAAAAAAACTAAATAAAAAGAATATATTATTATGTTACTAATTAATAATTTAATATTATGAAATCTACGAAATCAGTCATTATATAGAATACATAGGAATTGTATATAATTCCTAAATTTCATGCATTTCCGGTAACATAATAAAAAACATGTACATATAATTAGTTAAGGACAACGAAAGTCTCAGATACATCCTTAATATGGTCACACTACTTCAGTGCGATTTCTTTTAAACAAAAACAATAAAATTGTTCAAAGTCAATTAAATTCAATGTAAAACTATTTGATTTTGATAAAGTTATGATTTACTAATATGTTTAAAACACTGGTAAAACGTTTCAGCAAAAAATTAAGTGAAAATACAAAGAAGTATGTTTACAAGTATTCAATGCCAGAAGTCACTATTTAAACACTTACGCATGAAATCTTATATCACCTCCTGGACACCAACTGCCGCAACCACGCACTACACGAGTTTGCACCATTTCTTGAATTATAACAATAATTAACTATAAATATCTCAAACAACGCTGTGAACTGCTAAGTAAACAACCGCCATATTTGTCTAATTTATGTTGACATATAGGGCTAATGTTGCCACATTACCGGAACCTTAGGAAATGGGATTTTAATTCACTTATTCGTTAACCCAAAAATGCATACGAGACCTTCAATTTTGGAATTTTTAGTGTAACTAATCGTAGTTCAACTATTTATTTATTGGTACATTATTTTATAGAGCTTAACTTCTGATTTGGTTAGTGTGGAAACTACTTCTAAGAATTTACCAGGAGATTTAAATGAAAACATAGCAATACTGTATTCCACACTAAAAAGAGAAGTCAGACCACAGAGAGTGAGATAAAGATACGTAGGTATTTGACTCAAGCTGTTGTTCCAAGTATGGCCTCCATCTTCATCTATAACTTCATGCACATACCACGCGGTCCCATAATGAACTGGCCTGATATAGTTCAACGCGACATGTCGCTACATGTTGTGTTGCATTAAATAGTACGTTTATCGTGCACTTAATATAAGAAACATGCATCGACATGAAATGCTTAGTCTTAGTTTTACAGGCATTTGAATAACGAGAGTCGCGTATTTTTTTCAAAATGTCGAAAACTGAGTATCAAAGTGTCATAAATTTTCTGTTTAAAGAAGGTTTATCCCCTGGCCAAATAAAAGAACGATTGGATGGCGTGTATAAGGAGTCTGCCCCCTCCTATAGCACAGTGAAAAATTGGGTGAAAGAGTTTCGCCTCGGGAGAGAAACCGTCGAAGACTTTGGCCACGACGGTCGACCTGTGGAAGTGCTCACTCCCGAAACGATTGCTCTTATCGAAGAGGAGGTTCTGAGTTACCGCCGTTTGAAGATTAGAGAAATTGCAGCAAGGCTTGGGCTCTCTAAGAGTACCATTTATCGCGCGATCCATGAACATCTTCACATGAAAAAAGTGAGTGCAAGATGGGTACCGAAACTTCTTTCAGCGCTACAGAGACAGGAAAGAGTGCGCTGCGCTTCGGAGTTTTTGGATCTTTGTGGCGACAATCCAAAGACTGTGATCGAGCGGCTAGTGACTGGTGATGAAACTATGATCTTGTATTATGATCCACAAAGCAAGCGCGAGTCAATGGAATGGAGTTATAAGGGTGAAAAGCCCCCTAGAAAGGCAAAGGTGCAACAATCGACTAAAAAACTGATGTGCACAATATTTTGGGATTTTCAAGGCATTTTGATGGTGGATTTTAAAGAACGTAATACATTCGTGAACGGCGAATATTATGCTTCTTTAATATATAAATTACGAGACAAGATAAAGGAAAAACGAAGAGGCAAGCTGTCTAAAGGTGTCCTGTTGCTCCATGACAACGCTCCTGTTCATACCGCTGGTGTTTCGAAGGATGCAGTTCGTCAATGCGGGTTCACAGAAGTTCAACATCCACCTTACAGTCCAGACATGGCCCCGTCAGACTATTATTTATTTCCAAATTTAAAGCGGGACTTAACAGGAAGAAAATTTTCAAGCGAAGAAGAGTTGCAAGCGGCCGTCTTCAGTCATTTTGAGGATAAAAAATGTGATTATTTTTATAAAGGTTTAGAGATGTTGATTCACAGATGTCAGAAGTGTGTTAGTATTCATGGTGATTATATTGAAAAATAAAATTGGTTTCGTTTCATTTCCTTCATTGGTTCATAGTTAGGCCAATTCATTATGGGACCGCCTACGTATGCAACGCGGACTCTAACTTTAGAAAATGCTACTGTAGGATCGCTTCTTCTTCATAATTACGTTTGAAATTCATTATAATATCCCTACCAGCACTTTTAACCACTTTCGGCACAGTGATAACGATTATTTACTGCAAAAACGAATAACCGTGCGTTTGCACTGACGCGATTTTCACGAAAAAACATGTTTTAAACACTGTTTTCTGTCAATGTACCAAAAAGCGTTTGCATAGTCACTAAACATATTGTAGTTAAATATGTTTGACAGTTTATTGTACACTACATATTATAACTATATTATATCTATATAACTGCAGAAACAAAATGTTTGAAAACAAATTTGTAGAAATATTGTCATGTTGAAAGATAAGTTTGACGTTAATTTTGTATTTGTAGACACTTTAATCGAGACAGAGAATTTTCAACAAAATGGATTCAAGTGATGAGAAGAGGTTTTATTTTTTTAAGTACCTGTACTGTACATTTACAACAAAAAAGAAAGAAATCGAGAGTCTGGACGCGCGTGCAATGTGTTTGACAGTGATTCGCAGTGGGATATGGGATAGAGACTAAAAACTGTGCTGCATGACGAATAAAGAAAATTAAAGAAAGTGATACATGAGAAAATTCTACCAATTGCGTAATCACATTAAAACATTAAAAGCCAAAATTGTATTAAGTGTTTAGCTAATGAAAATACAGTAAGAAAATTATCCAAGAAAATAACATCAACATTTGCGCTGTAATTACAAGTTCAAATAGGAAATTGAAAGAAAAAGCTACATGACATATGAAAATCAAAGCCATATGGCTTTATAAAAGGTCACCCACCTGTTACAGGCTACTCACGCTCTATTAAAGGGTTAACTGAGTACTCTTTGCTATTGGAATCATTCAACCAGTTTTTAAGGCCTGGCAGATTTTTTAAATACTATAAAACCATCAGACAATCAATTTATATTGATATTTGATGAAATGTCTTTAAAAAAATGTGATGTATAAACCCAAAGAAGATTTGATTGAAGTGTATTAGGATCATAGAACACAAGGAACATCTTCAGTCATTGCATCATATGCATTAGTATTTATGATTGTTAGTACTAGGAAGACTGAAACAGCCCATTGCCCACTATTTCTCCAATGCATTTTTAACTGCAAATCATCTTACTGTACTAATAAAAGAGGTAATTATTAGTACTTTGTATGATGTTTCATTTTATTTCAACAGTTGAAATTAAAGTTGATTATAAAAGCTCAACGGTTGTAAAACATATTTAACTTTTGATTTCAGGTCTTGAATCAGTCATAGCTGGCATAACTTCCAGGCTGTCAGGCTGGGATGAATATATCTGCAACAGTGTGTGACATGGACGGAGTAAATTTACAAGTTCTCTCTATCTTGGGTGCAAATGTGCAACAACTATATTTTGCATTCCATAACAAAGAGATAGTGACCCTTTGATACGCCATATTTATTACATAAGGGATCTTGCAATGGGTTAATGCATTTCACATTGAAATAACTTTGTTTTGCAGAAGAGAGCCATGAGAGCACTTTACAACCTAAGTCCGAAGGAGTCTTTTCAAGAAAGTTTTTTAGAAGTAAATATATTAACTATAGCGTTTTAGTAGTTTTATGAAAATTTAATGTATGTTTTTTATTATTTTTGTTTTTTGTTTTTGTTAATTTAATGTACACAAAATCAACAATAGTTTTTTATTAAAAATAGTGATGTATATTCTGTTACTGGGAACAATTACAAGCTAGTTATATCAGTTATTCCACTTCAAAGAATAAGTTTTCCTTTATGGGGCAAAGTATACAACAAGTCATAAAACATACAGTCTATCAAAAACTGAAAATTTTTAACTAAGCAAAGTTGTTCAAAAAAAGGTTATTATAATAAAATATACGATTGATAAACCCCTGGGAATGGGGTGATTAATGTTTTTTCTAAATGTTTTAATATTTAATTGTAAAACATTATATTCTAAATAACATTTTGTTCAAATGACCCGCTTGGACTTCTTGCTTATTTTCTACATAGGACAGAGGCTTTTCCCAAACGAGTAAAAACATTAATTACTTAATGAGTTTTGTAATCAAGTATTCTCTAATAAGTTTTGTAGTTTTGAATAAAATTTATTCTATTTACGTCGTAACTGCAAGCATATAATATAGAGACAAAATTTTAAGGTTAATTTTAAATCAGGGAAATAAATAGACAACCAATTATTGTCAAAATGAAATTATTATTTGCTGGTTTTACTCTGCTCTTGTGTACATGAGCTTATTTATTATTTAACTTGTTTTTGATTCAAATATTGCTATTTTAGGTATTGTAGACGTGCTAGGGTTTTTAATTGTGCATGATATTATCAATACATTCATAATTGTAAATCATCTATATTATTCTGTCCTTTTTTACATAGGTAATTGAAATATTGTAATCAGTATTGATTTTTATTTTCTTGTTTTAACTCATCTAATGACTTAATAGACAGAAATAATTTTGCTAATGAAATTTTGTCTCCTCCCTTCAGTAGTGTTCTAGTATTATGCAAGTTTGAGAAATGTTATTCTGTACCTTAGAATCACCTGCTATTAGGCGGCCAGTATACATATACTAGGCGATGTCGGATGCATGACTGTTACATTCCGTCTGGACTGTAATACTAAGCCCGCAAGACCAACATTGTAGGCTTAGTATAACAATCTTTTTTAACACCCTTTGGGTCCAGACTAATAAAATGATAAATATTGTTGCCATTATACACATATTATATTTTTCAGAGTAATCAAATTCGTAACTTAAGCTTAAATACATAAATAATGATATAATGTTATTGCAATTCTTTAAAATATCAGTAAATAAAGCTTCTTCTTTTATTTGCAACTATCCCAAATTGAATCCGATTTATGGGCAACAACGTTTTTGCCTACCGATCGACTAACATGTTTCAAATATAAGCAAGCTCTAACTAATTTTTAATATCTTTATCTTACGAGGAAACTGAAAAATTATTAAATATAGATAGTTAAAAATGCAAACTGTTAAGCAAAATAATAACACACACTCACTCCTTTCACATACAGCACACACACACACACACTCACACTCATACTACACACTGGCATCTACGTATTAATTTTACACTTCTAAACTTTTAATATTGGTTTATGATTAACAAATCTCCAATATTAAATGAACATTTTGCATATTATATTTTATTGTTTTAAGAAAATGA